TAGGACCACCTTCAAAGAGGAAGGCTTCCTCACTCGTTCCATGGAAAAGGGAGGGAGCCCAGTCGACTGCCCTGGCGTCGGCTGGTCTTTGCAGTAGAATCAGGTCGACTGCCATCCACGGACCGAGTCGGGTAAGACCAAGGTCGGAAAGGAGCTTTTTCCTCTCAGCTGAACCCCAAGACCCCCACACATCTGAATCACTTGTGTTCTCTCGTCACTTGGATTGGCCTTTTTCACCGTCTGGGAGCGACAGGTGAAGATGTGCTTGAAAAGACCCCAATGAGGCCGGCAACCCAAGAAATTCTCGCACAAAGACACAAAAGCAGCGAGGTACACAATGGTGTTGGGTGTGAAGTGGTGGAGTTGCGCCCCAAAGAAATTCAGAAATCCCCGAAAGAAAGGGTGAGGCGGCAAAGAAAACCCACGGTCGACATGGGTGGCCAAGAGAACGCACTCACCCTCCTGAGGTTGCGGCTCAGACTCCTTCCCCGGGAGCCGCGCCGATCCATGGGGGATCAGTCCTCCGTCGGCCAGGTCATCAAGATCTGCTTGACTAATCGTCGAGTGGATCCAGTCTCCCTGGATCCAGCCCGGCGGCAGGCCGGTCCTCGATGAAGATCCGCCCCGACTGGTCGCCCTTCCCTTCGCCTTCGCCGTCGCTTTCTTCGCCCGCTCCAGGGCCGCCGTCTTCTCTTTCACCATCGTCGTCGACGAGACGCGCACGGGGCAGCGGCGCTGAGGCGGAAGCGAACGCGGCGGAGAAGTCTGGAGAAGGGGGGAGGAAATGAGAATGCACTATTAAAAAAAACCGTCCGGCGCCTTATATGAGGTTACTTCCGAGTGACTGACTTGTAGGCTCGGGCGATCCTATCAAATCCCGCAACAGTCGCGCGCGCGATACATGGCGAAAAAGGTGGCATGGAGATTGAGGTGTCCCTGCCTTATCCCATCCGATTACCGTGGCCTCCTCCGCCCCGCGCGCTTCCCGAAATTCGAATCCCGCAAAATCCGCGGGTTGCAGAACAACTCGTCAGATGAAAGATCTCCTCCGCTCTGTCGCTCGGAGCTCTCCAAGTGAAAACTTCACTCGACGGATACAAAGAATGGATCAAGGCGACTGAAAAGGAAGTTGGTGTCGTCACCTAAGGTTCATTGATCCAGAACAAGACATACTCATAGCACAAGAAATGGGTCGAAAGAGTTCTCAACTCCTTCCCCACTCAAACCTCGATCCATTCGGGGGCTAATGATGAAGCTATGTACCTAGGGTAGGGTCATGGACCTGTTCGAACTACCCTACCCAAGGACATCTCTGGAAAAAACCACCTGTCAATCGACTCAAAAGTGTTCCACTCCACAAACTCGAAGACACTCGACCATGAAGCCAACCACTCGACCATGAAGCCAACCACTCGACGCCCAGGAGATCTAAAGTCACTCTGCACGCAAACGGTCGGTCATTAAGTAGCTTTTATGGTCATCATAGCACTTTATGTGTAGCATTACCAGTAACGCCCAATCTTAATGTGTCTTAAACCCTGCATAACTGAGGGCCGGAGGGGTCTGGGCGGACTCTATATAAGCCACCCCCCTCCTCGGTGTAAAGGGTTCGCACCCCTGTAACTCATACGCATATAATCCAGTCGACCGCCTCCGGGCTCCGAGACGTAGGGCTGTTACTTCCTCCGAGAAGGGCCTGAACTCGTAAATCTCTTGCGTATACAACTACTCCATAGCTAAGATCTTGCCTCTCCATTAGTACCCCCCTACACTACTGTCATACTTAGAACCACGACACACCACCACCACCCCCCCCGGTCTTGTGAAATAGCGCCGCCTGGGGGCGCACCGGCGAAAAAATCGGCGTGGGGGTGATCGGTTTCCCAACCGCCACCCCAAGCTCGCCCCAGACGCCGTTTTTTTAAAAACCGAACTCAGCCAAAATTCACAGAAAATTTTGGCGTTCCATTGATATTTGTACAAATTGAAAACATAAATTTAAAAGCAAAATAAAAACTACTACTACTAGCCGCCGCCCGCCCGCCCGCCTTTGGTGTAGTCGTTGTCGCCGTCGTCGCCGCCGTCCTTGCTGCACCCCTGGCCTGCGTCACTGATTCGTGGGGGTTGGACGGCCCGGGCACCTCCTCGTCGCTGTCGTCGAGGATGACGATGCTACCCTCCTCGCGGTCGCGGTGCCGGGCGGCGATCTCCTCCAGGGTGCAGTGTTGGCGCTCCATCTACTACCGGATGTACTCGTCCCGCACCCATTTTAGGCCAATCAACTCGTCGGCAGCCATGGCCTCGTGCTCCTTCACGGCGAGGAGCCCCGGCTCGGTCTTCAGCCAGACGAGGCAGGAAGAATGAGGAGAGGGGCCACGGCCGCCCTCATTGATGACGAAGGAGCCGCCGCGGGTGCGCCGCCCGAGCAGCGCCTCCTATGGCTTCGGCTTGATGGGGCGGAGCGCCGGCGATCTGGAGGAAAGGGAGCCCGACGAGGAGGAGGATGTCGTCTCCATTCGCCGCGGCGTCCAGGAGCTGCCACGACGGCGAGAGAAGGAAGGGGCGCCGGGTACTTCAAGCGCGGTGTGTTGCTAGCCTCGATGTGCTCGAGGACGGCTTCAAGGGTGCGGCCGGGGACGCCACACCATTTGCGCCGCCCCTCGGAGTTGAGGCGGCCGCGGGGCTCGACGCCGTTGGTGGAGGCGAGCTGCTCCTTGTGGTGGCGGTCGAAGTACGTTGTCCAAAGTGTGTTGGTGTCGGGGGCGTACCTCGGCTGGTTCCACGCCTGCTCCGGCAGCGATGACCAGCGCGATCTCTGTGCGCCGATCAGTGCCGATGGGCACTGGAGGCACCGGGACGCCGCCGGCGCTGAGCCTCCAGGAGCCCGGCACCCGCATGTCCGGCGGGGCCGAGTAGTCCGTCTCGTAGAGGAAGCGGGCCTCGTCCTCGTGCAGGTGGTGGCGGCCGAAGCCGTTGGCCGCCGCTCCGTCGCCGGGGTAGCGCTCGACCATGGTCGTCGGAGGAGGAGCGTCGACTGGGGAGAGGGGGGCGTCAGCGGCGAGAGGGCGAGAGGGTCCTCTTCCGCGAGGGGGGAGGAGTGTGTGCAGCCACCGGCGAGGGAGAGGCGTCTTTTATAGCGGCGGGTGGGTGGCGCGCGGGCGGCATGCGTGTGTACGCGTGGCGGGAGGGGACGGGAAGCACGTCCGCGCGCCTTCACTGCGCCCGTGAGGAATCAATGGAAGGTTGACCAGTGACAGCCTTGGCATTGATTTCCCATGGGAAACCGAGGCGATGAGGTCGACGAACACGCCTGGTCGCTGACTCGGCGGGTCCACTAGACTTTCGCGT